CCCCACAGCATGATGCTGCCACCACCATGCTTCACTGTTGAGACTGTATTGGACAGGTGATGAGCAGTGCCTGGTTTTCTCCACACATACCGCTTATAATTAAGGCCAAAAAGTTCAATCTTGGTCTCATCAGACCAGAGAATCTTATTTCTCATAGTCTGGGAGTCCTTCATGTGTTTTTTGGCAAACTCCATGCGGGCTTTCATGTGTCTTGCACTGAGGAGAGGCTTCCGTCGGGCCACTCTGCCATAAAGCCCCGACTGGTGGATTGCTGCAGTGATAGTTGACTTTGTGGAACTTTCTCCCATCTCCCTACTGCATCTCTGGAGCTCAGCCACAGTGATCTTTGGGTTCTTCTTTACCTCTCTCACCAAGGCTCTTCTCCCACGATTGCTCAGTTTGGCTGGAGGCCAGGTCTAGGAAGAGTTCTGGTCGTCCCAAATTGCTTCCATTTAAGGATTATGGAGGCCACTGTGCTCTTAGAAACCTTGAGTGCTGCAGAAATTGTTTAGTAACCTTGGCCAGATCTGTGCCTTGCCACAATTCTGTCTCTGAGCTCCTTGGGCAGTTACTTCGACCTCATGATTCTCATTTGCTCTGACATGCACTGTGAGCTGTAAGGTCTTATATAGACAGGTGTGTGCCTTTCCTAATCAAGTCCAATCAGTTTAATTACACACAGCAGGACTCCAATGAAGGAGTAGAACCATCTCAAGGAGGATCGGAAGAAATGTACAGCATGTGAGTTAAATATGAGTGTCAGAGCAAAGGGTCTGAATACTTATGACCATGTGATATTTCAGTTTTTCTTTTTTAATAAATTTGCACAAATTTCTACATTTGTTTTTTTCTGTCTTTTTGTGGAGGTCGTTTTGTGTGGTTTGTGGAAGTCCAGAAATAGGGTAGGGCTACTATAAAAATGGTCTAAAAACAAAGTGTAGCCCCCACCAAGCAGTTAAAATGGCGAAAGGTCCATGACTGCAGTGTAGCTGAGACCATGGCCTGTGGTGACCCCACTCTTGCTGGTGTACAAAAAAATTCCATGTGTTGATGCATCAGCAAGAACAAAGAGTTTGTAGCCCCACTTTGTGGGTTTGTCCTTCATGTATTGTTTCATGCTGATGCGGGCCTCGGTTGCGACCATCCTCATCTATGCAAATGTTTTTATAGGGATGAAAGTTGGCTTGGCAGGCACTATCTCAGTGTAGAGAAGCTTGTTCTTGAAAAGTCTGTTATAGTGATCACTGTTCCTCTTCCGCTCATTGTCTTCATCTTCTTCCGGGTTACTCAAATGCAGGGACCTCAAGATGGCTTCAAAGCAGCTCCGTGACATCTTTTCACCAGGGAAGTGAAAGTTGTATGGCCATGCCTTTTCGCCAGTAGTCAGATCTGTGGTGTACCTGAACAACGCCTGTATAAACCATGATGTCCATGAAAATGTAAAACTCCTTTGCTGTAAGCACCTTCCATACTAACTTCATCCCAGCCTGTACTCGCTTAGCAATATTGGAATTCGTATTTTCATAATTGTCCTGACCGCAGATGCACTGAAAAACAGCTGGAACAGGGTGAGGGGAGACCATGATGCTGTTGTATCAAAGGTGGGGCCTGGGGTCCTGGCTGGCATGAACCTGAGCGGGTCAGGTTTTTTCCTTTCCTTCAGTCAAATGAGGTGGGGGTTGTGCTTGATGGTTGTGGATGAGGTATAGATGGCCTCGCCTGTAGCTGAGGAGCAGAAGCACGTCGGGTGGTAAAGATAGCTGATGAAGATAGATGTGGTCCAGATAGCTGGGGCAGAGGGTTGGGCTGGTGCAGAGGCAGTAGACGACGAAGGCCCCTCATAATCTTCATCATCACTGTGCAACAAAGGAGGAAGAAAAAAAGATATATTCATAGACTGGCAATGATTTTGTTTTAGTAAACAGGAAATGTAATGGAACAGTAATGACTCACTGTAACTGAAAACACTAACGTTTTGTTGTGGTAGACTTGCTTGTACTGGGGAAGTTAGCAAACAATCCAGTTTGAACCAGTTTGAGTGTGTGTATTCATCCCTTCATTGTATGGAATAGGCTAGCTAGCTAAATGGGTAATTTAACAGTAATAATAGCGGAAGAACTCCGTAATTTCATACCAACATGATGAGTAAATGATCACAAAACATATTTTACAAACCTTTCCGATGAAGTCTATAATCAGGGTCACTGCCGTCCGATGTGCCCTCAGCAACAAAGAGATCTTAATCATCCGAAGAAGAGTCAATGGGAATGACCGGAGCTCCTCCGAAATCTTCTTTTGCCTTTTCCAGTCAGCCATTATTAGATACAAGAAATACAAAAGAACGGCTCAATAATCACTCAAATAAGACAACGGCTCTTACTGTTATTAGAGCTGTGTGTTCTGCTGTCTTCGCTGTGCGTCCTGCGTCTTGAAGGCGAAGGAGCCGGCTTACGCACAGTCATATCACCGCAAACGATTGGTCAATTTGGATGATGGACACCTCTATCAAACCATCAGAACCAACAGAATCAAGGAGCAGTCCCAAAATCCGCGTAAACGACACCACTAGCCAACCAGAAGCCAACAAATACATTGCGTAGGACTAGCAGTCACAACCCCACTCCTCATTCACAGCCTGTTATCATAGCAAGAAATAGCTGCAGACTGTCCAGAATCATTTCAAAGTGACACAGAGGCATCGGAGTAACCGCAAACACCGTTGATATGGCATTGTACAAAACTTCTGATCACAAAACAGCAGGATAAGACACAATTCATAGTGGTACATGTGTAAACGTTTTCTGTTGTTCACTGACGGTTTACTCCGTGTGTTTTGGCCGTACAGTGATGTAAGTTACACTATTGGATTCTGTGGAACCTCCTGAATCATTTGAGTGGTTTGTATTGATAGGGCAACATTAGATTTTAGGAGTGCTGTAACTACTGGCACGGACTTTGTTCAGACAGTGTGTTTTACTATAAGGTTAGTCAGTTGCTTTGTGTTTGATGTGTGTTTTGTTGTGGCAAAAATGGATAGCATAACTTTTTTGCAGAGTTTTGTCCGGTTACGGGAGCGTGCTGCATAGTTATGTTGTGCTCACTCGGTGGAGTGGAATGAGTGTAAAGCCATTAAGCCCCGTTGCCCCTGGTACCAGGGGGGTCTGTTTTGAACAAGCTCATGTACCCATTAAGCACATCACCAACTCTGAGTTCAAATAACATCAATAAAAAATAATGTATTGTCATTTAATGCATTGTTGATATCTTAAACAATTGTGTGTGTTATTACGTACCTTGTGTAATTTTAAACCAATCAGAGATATGGGTATGCGAGCGCCAAAGGAAAATCACCAGCGCCAAAATGATCAGAATTCAGAAAAAAAAAAATCAATTCCTCTATGAATGTGTTTCAATAGCCATTTATCACACAACTGTTGAGCAAGCAGAACATAAACTTAAAAACGACATCTTGACTTCCAGCAGTCACCTCTCCTCTCTTCCACAACCACTGTATTTTACACATGCAGCTGGCGCTGGATTAATAAACCAACTGCTGTGTTGGTTTGACTGCGCCTAAATGCTCCGCTATAAAGCTAGCGCTAATGGGAGAGATGACTTGCTGTGATTTCTAACAATATAAAAGCCATTTGAGCTTGAAGTGGGTCAGTATTCACAGGTACTTTTCCATTTTACTCTTTGATGTACCGGCACCGGACCTCTTCTGTTCTCTCTAGGGCTGCAACTAATGATTATTTTCGTAGTCGACTAACCCTAATTAACCGTAATTTGTCAAATGAAAAAGATTTTTGCTTTATAACTATATCAAATGAAAGCAATTTAAAAGTAAGTACTATAACCACAACTGTACACTAACAATGTCATGTCTATTTAGAATAATAAAGCAACAGTCCCCTTTCATTCTACTGTAGATTATTTTTCTAAAGTGCTTATAGGTTTTAGGCTATAACTTAGTGGAGAATGTTCTGTAGGCTACATCACGAGCCAGATGTGCGCAGTCAAGGGCGCTACAGCAAACTTTAGAAATGCTGAACTTCTTGTTCTGTATTCAAGGTTTTTATTATTGACAAGTTAGTATTCTGCATAAACAAATGAGAGACTAACCATCATGTAGAGCATTTTTCTTGCACAATAATTTAAAGACACTTCTGTGCAAATTTTTGTGGATTGTTTTAATACACAAAAATGAAACTGTTGTTTTGTCCAACTGCAATTAATATTAGGCTACTAATGGAAAGCTATAGAAGCCTGTACTATTATCTGAAATAATAATGAAGAAACAAACATTAGCACTAATCAAACCTTAACCACAGTGGTGTAGGCTAATATCTGAGAATGGTTTTATTTGTGAAACAGCTGAACTCAACTAATAAACTATCTGTAGGCAGAATATCCAAAAAAGGACCTGTAAATATTATACTAACATTAAACTTTAAATTTAATGTTATAATATTTATATTATAATAATACACTAATGTATACCTATATAATAGATATATATATATACTTTTGACAAACTCAACTGGATTTTCACATTGACAAAATATCTACAAAATTTAATACCTTGTTAAATGGTGATTAAGACTTTTTAATACTTTCAATGGCCTTAATTTTCGCAAAATTGATTAGTTACCTTTTAAGACTTTTTAAGACTCTGTGGACACCCTGGAATATACCGAAAGTGGGCTCCAGCAAAAAGGTTGCTGCAAAGGCCAATCAAATATGTACAAGCACATATTCCTGGCAGATTACTTTGGAATGTAAATGCAGTTTTTCTATGGCCTACCTTGTGATTGGTGCGACAACAAAGAAAATTGCAACCCTGATAACTTTCTAGAGCAGTAAAATCTTTCCTCATAATATATTTTATGTCTATTCCCAACTAAACTCTTAAAGGTGGGTGTGTCTGCAGAAAACATAATTTTCCCTCCTGACTGCACTAGTTACTACCACTAGTAGACCTAGGAATAAAGTTATAAGACCTGTTCAGAAATGTAGTTCTGAGGCATGTATCCATTCCTGAAGTACACCACTGCAACCTCTTGGCCATCACTAAAAAGAAAAAAAAAACAGAAACGGACACTAAGCACAACTAATCATAATTATATCTTACTGCTACATATAACATATAGTTTTAATGAATGAATAATATATTTTATACAAATATAACCAACAGAAACGGACTCACACAAATAGCCTCTTGTCCTGATCAAGGTACCCTGTTTTACAAACATTGTCAAACCGCTTTCGTATTGTGGGAATGTTTCTGAAACATAACAACAATAGTGTGCTGGTTACAAAAAGCACAATTTTTCACACCATACACAATCCTAGTCAACTACCTGAATGTCCTTTTCAAACTGGATGATGGAATAACTTATCATAATTAAACATCAACATATTCCAGTTGGTCAGGGAAAGACACGCAGTGGTATTAAAGATAACTAAATAAACACTAGAGCATAATTTTAAACTGTAAGACATTTTTCTATCGTCCAACAATATATATCATCATTTCACACAGCCCTAGGGGAATGGCTTACTTCTTCACAAACATCTCCTCGGTATTCGCACATACCTCTTCAGCAGTTCGTTCTCAATGTATCGTTGATCAAAGATGTTCCTTTGGCTCTCTTCCACCAAGAACATGACGACTGCTCTACAATGACAACAACTCCTCATGTAAAAACACTCTCACTGCTAACATTATTGTGGACATTTGGTTACTCTCACTGGTCACTTGTTTTGATCAAATACACTGCTCAAAATAAGGGAACACTTAATCATCACAGTATAACATAATGTCAATTAAACTTCAGTGATATCAATCTGTCCAGTTATAAAGCACAGGCAATTGTGAATTAATGTCACGTGTTTTGGTGCAAATGGAAGTGGTAACAGGTGCACTGGAGTGGCAACAGCAAGACACCCCCCAAAACGGGAATGGTTTTCAGGTGGTGGCAACAGGCATTTGCAATCTCCTTATCCTTCCTGCCTGACTGTTCTCTAGTTTTGTGTTTTTCTTGTGTCCTTGTCACTACTGGTAGCTGCAGGTATGCTGGATGATGCTACATCATCCAGCATACCTGTGTGGTTTTCCACATATCCTTTCACCCAGCTTAGAGCTCACGCAATGTTTTTCAGACATGGGAATCGGCAGGGCCAGATGGTGAGATAACAAAATAAAGCTCAGTCCTCCAATGAAAAAACACAGATCAAATATAAAACATATATCACTATATTGCTGATACGCTACACCATAGTTTGATGTGGTTAAGGTTTAACATCAAAATAAATTAAATTTGAGGGGAATCAAATTTGATGATGCCTCTCACACACACCTTTCACTTGTAAAAGATATAACCTAATTTAAGCGATACACACAATAGCTCTGCTTTTTTCTTGAGAAGCTGTAGAGCTGCAGTCTCAATTCATTAGTCACTGTAACTTAGTCTGTACATTTACAGCTAAACTGCTGTTTAGCTTCTTGTTGACCATTTTCTCTCTGCTCTGCTAGCCTGCCTTTCACCAGTCTTGCGCAGAGTTGTGCCCGCCGACTCGCTGACATCGCGGTTCCTCGCTTGTCTATTCCAAGTACTGCTTAAAAATAATATAATATTCGTCGTCTTTAACCACATACAAACACATGCCATGCCACCGATGTGCAATGACACCCCCTACCTTAAGGGTTAGGGTTACAATTTTAGACTGGTTAAGTGTGTAAGTTTTAGTGACATCTAGTGGTGAGGGTTACGAATTGCACCCCCCCATCCAAGCGAGTAGTTTCGTCTCAGGACAAAAGATGTTGTCTATGAGACAGAGAGTAGCCAGTCAAGAGTCAAGAAATTATGTTTCTTTACATAGATATATTTAGAATTTCTATTTACTTAATTATTTAGTAAAGTTATTGTGAATATTATTGTTGTTCATTAAACAACATCAAAAAAAAGAAGTGCTACATGATGTCTCGTACTCCTGTAATACAGTATTTTACTGTACTGTAATCATACATTTTGTTACATCTTGGGAGGGTTGGCTCATCTGGACCAACATACTAAAGTACATGAAACATCTAGAGCATCAAGTATGACCACTGACAGATAACGGGGAAATGTAAGCCTCACTGTTTCTGCACCACAGTCCATTATAAACCACATAATACATGAAGTTTACAAAGGCATTGTCAGGTGAGGATCAAAGCTCCTCTCACTTTGCTTAATTAGATAAGCAATCTGCAAATCTTACCAAAATGTCTTTTTTTAGTTTTTTGAAATACAACAGAAACACAGATTAGTACTGACAGCCATAATTTCAGTTTGTGGTAAAATGGTGCAACGTTTTTAATGGGCATTTAGCATGTGAAAGTACAAATTACACATTTGTGTGCACAGTGGGGAAGCAATATCCCCAAAAAACTGTTTGCAAATTCAGAAAGTATTGGTCACTTGATAGGCATAAGGTCATGTTATTGTATCACTACAAGTATCATTAGCAGTGCATGTTTTCCATCAGGGCAGTAAAATGTGAAAATTTAGCTGCTGATCTGAACTTCCAGGCTGTTAATGTTTTATTGCCAATAATATTCATCAGTGGTTTGTCTCAGGAAGGTAAGGGCACATTTCTGTCCACATAGCAAAGCCATAACAGAGCATTGTAGAATAATTACATGAAATTACAATTCTACTAGGGCAGTAAAGGTTTAGCTGGATGATCTGAGCTTCCGTGCTGTAAGCTACCGTTTTATTGCCAATTACTGATCAGCTGATTGTCTCGCTAACATAACCGGCAAAACCAAACCGCAGGTGAATAACTAGGCTACATAATATTAATCCAACTAAATATTTTACACCACTGACAGGGGAAACACGTCACGTCTCTCTGTGATTATGGCCAGCTTCTAGCTAAAGCTATCAAACAACAGCTTTCATTTGCATCGCTAAAGTCTGACTGACTTAAGTACCTGTCCAGCAGAAAACATCCGTCCCACATCAAAGCCTTCCATCTGGGAAAATCCACACCGATTACATCCGTGATTTCTGCTGTCATCTGTCTGTATCTGTCCTGACTCCTCTGGCTTCATGTATGAAGATCCACAGGCTGTCGGCTCTTGAGCTAAATAACACGTTTTCTCCTTCATTTGTCCAAATGTCACTTCTCTTCTTACTTCTAATAAACCAGAAGACTACTCAGAGACTCTGAGTAATACTCTGTGTACTCTGTTTAATATTATTATTATTTCCTCTTCTTCTCCGTACACATTCAATGTAGTGACGGGCGTCTACACTGCCGGAATTATACAAGCAGAAGAAGAACGCCGTGATGACGAAACGCGCTCTGTAGCTCTGTTTGACCGTTGTTGGCTACTGTAGAAACGTGACGACACAATACGGCGAGGTGCATGGCAGAGGGGATGTAGATATAAATGGCTCATTCTCAGGTAATAAAAACTTAATGGTTTATTATGTAAGGTCTTTATACATCACTGAAAACATAGTTATGGATCTTATATTACATTTCTGTTAATACATTTTCAGAAATTACACACTGAACTTTTAAAATTTTTTATTAAAAGCTTTCTTTTCACATGTTCATTTACAGCATTATATGCTGATATTTATATCATAATAGGCTGTATGAACTTATTAGGAGAAACCCAGCAGTTCTATGTAAAACCAGACGTTGAGCCCCCTTATATAGCCAAAATGGTATAGTCCTCGTTTCATGACAGCCCTGCGAAGACTCTGTCATATATATATATATATATATATATATATATGATTATACTATGTATTTAAACCACGTTAACTAGGCAACGAGGCTAACTGATGTTATTAGTCAAATATAAAAATTGCAGAACAGAGCGTCAGTAGTTTTTACTAATATCTAATAATATTATTAATATATCGAGAATGCACAAAGTGGATTCTCAATATTAATTTTATAATATAGTTTGTGTGTGTGAAATCACTGCAGTGAATATACTGTGCTGCCAGGCACACAGAGGGCATCCAGACATTACAGTAGCGCACAAACAGATCTGCCTTCTCACCCCCGACGGCAGCAAGAATTCGTGACAAGTGTGTTCAACCATATATAATGTCTACCTTTCTAAAGCTGCTGCGTTTCCGTTTGTTTGTGAAACCACTGCATCAAAAAATGTGCGCTCACAAGCACACATTTCCAGGTGGAGTATGATTTATAAAGGGAAAGTTACCTGAAGGTGTGCTTAAGCACAGTTTTATAAATCTGAATTTTTTTTTGGTGTACGCCATTTCAGGTTTTTGTGCGCACACAGACCTTTAGTATGAATTTTACACAGTGTTTTATGAATGAGGCCCCAGGAGTTTATAAATGAATTAAATGAATTCCCCAACAGATAACTTTTCAGTTTTGTTTTTAAAACCAAAATAAACTATTTCATCTACATTTTAATGGCATTTTATGATGTCACTAACAACTATTGACGATAATAATGTAAAGAAACAACATTTAGATTTTGGGATGGTTTACATTCACCTCGGGACGGTTAGAATTGTTTTTCGGGACAGTTCCAGGACAGAGGGGACAAAAGTAAGTCTGGAGCCCTGACAAAGGCATTGCTGCAATTGACTGGCCCTCAGGTTCCCCAGACCTGAATCCAATTGAAAACCTCTGGCACGTTATGATTTGGTGCATCCGAAGCTGCCAAGTAGCGCCACAGTCTGTCCAGGAGCTCACTGCTGCCATGATCCTGGTCTGGGATATCCCCCAGGCCACTATCCACCATCTCATCAGGAGCCTACCCAGATGTTGTCAGGAGCGCATCCAGGTACGTGGGGACCATACACACTACTGATTCACATTATGAGCTGCTGTGATGAAAGTCACGCAAGTAGGGATCAGCCTGTGATTTCAGTTTATTACTGTGGTTTTCGGCCTGATTTTGAATCCAGCAATCAGTTGGTTATTTTGGATTCCACTGACCATTATGTCATTATGCTCTCAACAAATTATACAGTGTTGAGTCACAATTTTTCACTTATTTTTGAGCAGCGTATTTTCTACATTTCTAATAGCAAATACTACAGAATTTTCTTAATCAACTCAGAATCAGACCTAGTTAAGTCAGTCTGGTGTTACATGTGATCATCCGTGACTTATAGCAGCAGCTTTATGCCTGTGCTTCCAACTACATAATGCTAAGCATATCATTCCACCAGTAAAGAATATACTGTACCAGGTTTCCATCCACTATTAGTTTATGGTATTGGAATAATGCAGCTGGTATTTAAGAAGCAGAGCTGAATATTCTACCAGCAGGATGTTTTTACTCTAGACTTGATAGGTGGTTTTGTATGATGACGTAAGAGAGTATTTTATATCGACAGCGTAGCCTCTGCATAGCCCCCTACCCTACACCGTCACCTACGGCGTAGCCTGATGTGCCCCTCCTCAAAAGTATATATAAAAAGTAAAGTATGCCTTATATCTTATCTTAAAAATGCAACTACACGTCAAGGCGATGCGGACCGTAAGAACTGTGATTGGTCAGCTGGGTAGCCTCGCAATGCCTCTGAGCCACGAGGAAGTGCCCCATGCTTTGAAGTAACTTTTACTAGCAGCCAATCAAGCGGCTGGATCAATATATTTGACAGTCACAACTCGAACGAAATGACACATTTATGTTCTTCTTCTCGTTTCGGCCTATAACATTTGAAAAGGCTACACCAGCCGCACATATACAACTTTACCCCCATTCACATTAGCAGAGGGCTAAACCGGAATTTAGCCTGCTTGGCCGGCAAAAATCAACACAGTGGATGCTGTAGAGATACCGCCGACTAGTGTTTGGGGATGTAATTGCAGAATGATGGAGACACTGACGCACAAGTATAAATGCATGGCTACGTGCGTAGCCTACGGCGTAGGTACGCACGTAGACCATGCACAGGAGTATAAATCAAGCTTTTGTCTTTTGTAGCACACACGGGTCTCTCGGGTGAGGAAAGACAGACAAAGAACATCTGGTGTTACTTAGGGTATTGTTCAGAATTCAGGCAAAATTCACCCAAATTTAAAATGTGATCAGATGTTTTTTCATAACAGTGTGAACAGCACAAATCATATCAAACTTGACCTTTTCAGTTCTGATTTGGGCCACTTTCATTACATGGTCCTAAGTCAGACACAAGTGGTCAGAATTCATGCGTGTGACGTCTGTTATTGTTCTTTGCACGTCAGTTCAGGTCTGTGACCAGGGCCAATGTAAACAGCCAGTCCTGGGGGTACTGAATCTGGGTACAGATTTAAGATAAAATAATCTCCCTTTCAAATTGGAATCAGAAATCAGGATGATTTCATTGGATCAGGCGTTGGTTAACAGGTTTTTGCTTAAAGGCTTAAACTTGCTCTTCTGTGACTCTCAAGACTCTGTGTAAGGTGAACTTATATTTCAGTGCTGTAACAGTATCCAGCACTTGATTTTAAAAAAAGCAGACAGAACAGTGAGTGAGTAAAAGTAAGTACATCCAGAAGGCAATAACATGTAGTTTTATAAGGCAGAATTCAATGGATGTCCTTAATTCCTACCTCTCTGATCCATAGAGCTCCCAGGATTTGGCAATTGCAATGGCCAGACCAGCTGCAGGGTTGTTGGCTAGGATGTGCTTGCTTTGCTCCTGTAGGCCTGCCACCGTAAGGATGTGCCTGTCGAGCAAGATGAAGAATACTTACAGCAATACTAATTGCAGCAGATGATATATTAGTTCCTGACCGCATTTTATTTTACTCTGTAAGTTTTGTATTCCTTTTCCTGATCCTAATAAATTCTTCTTAAAAGCTCACCTCGTCTTATTTACGGGGTCTAGCACTTTAAATGTTAAAGGACACCTATTATTCTCTATTAAAAATGCCTCTCTGAGGCTTTATTATTCTCATATATTTCTGGTGGGACCTTTATTTAGTGGTGTTAATGCTACACAGGAAAAGTAGCTGCTTAAAGAGGCAACCAAACTATATGAAATGGTTGACAGTGGACAAAATCAGAGTGCCTGGGGTGCCTGTTAAACATGAAAAAAAGCTTATGATCAACAGGTCATGAGCTTTTTTAAATCACCAGCTATAAAAATGGCATAAATTTAGTTTAATTTTAGTTTTAATTGTACTAACCTTAATATTTTCATCATACTTCAGAAACCCTCACTTTGTAATTAACACAGTCTCTTGGTGATTTGCTAATAACTGACTTACCGGTGTACATCTGGCATGCGTGATGAGAGACCTCCAAAACTGGCAGCAAAGGTATTGATCTCTATCTGCTTCAGCGATAAAGACCCATCCTCTCTCTGGTCCAGCATGTAGTCGGACCGATTGAGACCCAACACAATAGGCTGGGAAGAAGAAAAGAATCCCCACTTAGACTACTTAGATCAATAAACTGTTATGATCCAAGTACGTCTGATCATTCAGAGCAGACAGCTACGAGTAGGCACAAAACTTGAGCCGTTTTCCTCATGTGTGTAGATTATTAGTAAATAGTTTGTCTAATTAGTAAAAATAGACAATTAGTAAATTATTCATATAGTCAATGGACAGAAAATTTTTGGTAACTCACAACTAAAATTTTAACAAGGCTTAAATCTGAGGATTAAAGTGGCCACAGAAAAGAAGTCACATTAAAAAACTCTCACTAGCATTCGTAGGTTTCAAAGTCCTAATAAACTGGTTATATATATACACACACACACACACACACTTTAATTATAATCATTTGGATGGAAAAAGCTCTACAAGATAATATAAAATGTCAATTCACATAACTCTGATTTAAAGCCCACTGTCCCTCCACTTCATGTTTCTCTTTGACCCGAGCCTATTCTTGCTAGCTGGATAACTACTGAATGATCAGCGTTTCTGAAGATGAAGGATACCTATCTGACAAGGCCTCCTTTCATTTGTTCAAGGTTATGTAGTTTATGCTGACTTATGTCTTCATAACATTTTGTGTGTCCATTTGTCGTAATATTGAGGCATATTGCATTGCTGCATGGATAAACTGCCATAGCTTTGGTAAAATCACTACTCATCTTAAATTATAATAAATAAATAATACATTTTATTTGCAAGTAACATTGTATTTTGGTTGCTATGTATTTAAAAGAACTGTGCCACACATACTGGTTTACTTTATGGCATAAATCATGACTCAAGCTATTAAATGTATTAATTCACCATATCCTCCAACTGAACCTCAGACTACAACTAACAGAGAAATCTTTTAATAGTTCCAGTTAAATGTGATCAAGTGTGGAACATTTGTTGAAAAGACAATATAATGATTATAAACGTACCAGCAAGGGTCAGTAATTTGACAAAGGCCTTTTATTTTCTATTCCCGACATACCTGAGACCTTCCTTCTTTTAGGATTTGTTGGTGGATCCTGAACAACCTTGCAGTGAAATCATCCACTGCAATGGTGCTATAAACAAAGAATGTCACTCTGTTAAAATAGTTGCTCAGATTGCCTCATAGAATGTAACTATAATGTAATCTTTGGGAGAAGTTTTGTCTTTGAATGCTGCTGCTTGAAAGCACACAGTAAAGCCACATTTCCAAACTACTGAGGATGCCATAATTATGATAATTATCATATGCTACCTGGCTAGAGCCTCTTGCAGGAAGTCTGGATCCTGGCTGATCTTGTCTACCAGTGTGTTGTAGAGAGTTTGCACTGAAAGAGCCTGGAGGAACACAGCCTTAGGCACAGGTGTGGGGAAGAGTGTGAATGGAGCATAGGTCACCAACTGAAAAACAAGTTGTAAAATGTAAGACAAGAATGCGGACATCAAAAAACTAATTATCAAAAGACACAAGCAGTGAGGGGTGCTCTCACTTTTGTGAGATACTGTATGTATATGTGCTTTTTTAATTTATTTATTTTTAATAAATTTGCAAAGATTTCAAACTTCTTTCATGTTGTCATTATGGGATATTGTAAAATAATGAATTTGATCCATTTTGTAATAAGGCTGTAACATAACAAAATGTGGAAAAAGTAAAGCTCTGTGAATGCTTTCCAGATGCACTGTAAATGTGTCACTTATAACTGGTGTTGTTGATCTGCATACTTGTGAACGCCCCATTTTTTATGCAGCTTGCAAACTATGGTAAAGTTAACGTTACCAGTGTGAATGCTGCGTTTGCATATCCAGAATCACAGTTGATGACTTATTTTGAGGGCATGTAATTATGTTATCACATTCGCAAACCAGTCGCTCTTTGAATTCTTTTAACACGTCTGCATTTCGGTGAGATGCTTTGTTAAGCTGGATGTGTTGCCTCCATTGGTTGGTCTGCATAGGTTTGAAACATCTTTTACAGAGGGGCTTTGTGGTGTCCATGAGCTTACCCTCAGTGCTGGCATTGTAAGCGAAATAATTCCATAATTCGCTCTGTGTGTCTGCTTTGTTGACAAGCCATGGAAGAGCACTTGTACTTTTAACCATGTCTCTAACTCTGTGATCTGTCTCTCCTGGAGGTGCAATGTAAGGCACACCCATTACTCCTGTAGGGAGGGGGACCAGACGGACCCACTCACCCACTGCTCCGCTCGCAGCGGCTCTTACTAAACACTGTCACTCTTAACATATCAATGCCAATAAAAGGCAGTATTGTATCTTTATTACGGCAGAGTACTGTAGTATTTGTATATACTGTGCAACACTACATGCTACTTTAATTTTGTGTTATGTTATCATAGTCTGTGCAGATCAACAAAAACTTCTTACCTCTGATGAATTGGGGGTCTCTTGGATCCTCATTAGGACCCCATGCAGAAGCGCTGCATCTTTTGCCACATCCCCCAAGTCTTTTATCAGGGTAGCATTCATCATCACCTCGTCTGGTATCCCCTGGGCCATTTTGATTAACCTGAGATATGAAAAACTGTTAAAGTCTTTGGAAAAATAGTAAAAGCCTTGTCACTGCTAGTCACATAATGAAAAAGGAACAAGACATTTATTTCTACTATGGATGACAATACCTTAGAGTGCATAGCAGGTTCCAATTCAGTTTTTTGTTTTGCAGCTTTATATTGTATGGCTACAGTAGCAGGACTCACTCATATTTTATTTCCATTTACTGTAATCTGTTCAACCTACTGACACACCCAGTAGTGACCACAGACCATGTAGGTCACCTACATCTATAGCCTGCACCACTCCCAGCTGATTTTAGTTTCTGCACCCCTGCTTCCAACTCTTGTGCGTGTGTTTGCTAAATGAGTGAGTGAAATGCGACATGAGGGGCTGTTAAGTTAATGTGAGCATGTACCATGGACACAGCTGACTCCACGCTGTGTTCGGCAGCGTGTAAACATCCAGACTGTTTCACTTACAGGCTGCGTGAAACAGTTCTCAGGTCAATTCAGACGATGAGATGAATAATACAAATGTTGACTGGCAAGATAATGTTGATGACGATTGCAAATATAGCGGAATATAAACGTGACCGATGGTACGAAGCTGTGTCACAGGTTAATCTGGGCGCTCTGCCACAGCGGTCTCCCCTTTGCGTTCCTGATTGGCGTCAAACACCTCAGCCTTTTTCACGTATGTATGTACAAACACTTTAAAACCGACCGTGGCACAAATCAGAGAGACAGCATGAACATTTGGACGTTTTGTTTTAAACAGCGACACAGTCTCCTCCATGATCACGTCCAAAGTCCTTGCTTTTAACTAATATGCAGGTGGGAGAGGTGCAGCTAACGATGTAAGTTAGCCTACAAACTACATTCACAAGCATATATCTTCATGGTACATTATGTAGATAAACAAAGTTATCGGAACGTATTTCCTGGTTAGCAGTGCGACACATCTGGGACTATCACCAGTTAATTTAGTCACCACTTCAACCGTCACACCGGTGGCTGCTGGGGACGTTAGTAGCTGCTTAGCTAACTTATTTAACTGCTATTTACCGTCAGGTTAGCAGGTTTCTCCAGTCACTGTTTTGTGTCCTACACGAAGGGATTTTCACAAGCACAATGTGTTGGTCTGCGATAACGAATACCTTTAGAAGTACACTTCTATCCTCCGCTACAACAAAATGTCTTTGAAATATCTGTCTCAGGAAAGACTAGTGTAGCCTACTCGTTGGTCGTTCATGACTTCCTTCTTCTTCTTCTTCTTCTTCTTCTTTTCGGTTTATGCCAGATTGCAACCATGAATTTTGAAGGTGCATACCGCCACCTACTGTATCGGAGTATGTTGCATGAACTATTTTCGTTGGGACTACTTTATATCATTAAAAAAAAAGGTAGAAAAGAAGAAAAAAAAACGCCCATAAAAAACCCTTCTACTTCCTATTATATATCCAATTATATTTTTGCAAGCTGTAATATTTCCTTCCACTTTTACCCCCCCCATCCTTTCTTCATTTTTTTTTTTTTTTAATTATGGCCTTATCTTCTCCTTTCCCAAGGGGTATATTTATGACATTGTTCGTCCTGGTTGATTTTTGAGCTATTTTGTCTGCTCTCTCATTCCCTTTTATACCTACGTGGGCAGGTACCCAGCAGAATCTCACATCTATCCGTAGTGTCTGTAATCTAACTAAACTTTGTTGGATTTCTAGCATTAGATCTTCTCTATTAGATTTCATATTTTGAATAGTATAAAGGGCTGCTAGAGAATCAACACAACACACCACTCTGTCTGGTTTTACTTCCTCAACCTGCTGCAGTCCTACAATAATCGCCATCATCTCTGCCGTGTACACTGAAGCCTGATCAGGTAATCTTTTCCCAATGCTTACATTCACTGTTGCTATATATATTCCTATTCCTACCTTGTCCTCTTCATCTTTAGATCCGTCTGTATATATACCTAAGTAATTGTAATATTTGCTCCTTGCCAGATGTCCTTTCTCACTCTCTTCCCATTCGCTCTTTAGTTCCAATATATTTAAGTTTATCTCAGTTTTTGGAAATAACCAAATAGGGATATTACTAATAGGTATAGGGGAGTTAAACCAGGCATTAATTAATCTATATTCCTCTGATTTAGTCTTTGTTACCCAGCCAAAGCCATTACCTTTAAAAGAACCATACTCCAAACATTCCTGAATAACACTCTTTGCATGGTTTTCATTACCACATCCACGTAAGCGGCTCCATTATGTCAGCATGAGTTTCTCTCTTCTCAGGACTGAGGGCACTTCTCCTAACTCAACCTGGATTGCTTAAATTGGTGTTGATCTCATTACACCAGCACAAATCCTCAATGCTTTGTTACAAACTCTATCCAACTTCAATAAAAGTGTTTTAGCTGTTGCTCCATATAGCTCCATAGCATCCATAAGCTATTGTTGACCTCATTAGAGCCCTATAAATATACGTTCATGATTGTTTATTTGCTCCCCAGTCTTTCCCCACTACTGCTCTCTTATGACTTTCTTGCATTTTGATTCCACCTTTTCAACGTGTATTTTCCATGTTCCCTTTTGGACTAACCACATACCCAGATATTTAAAATGATCTACTGTTTCCATATTGTGGCCATATAACTGTAGGTTCTGTTTATCTATCCCTTTCTTCCTGGTAAATATCATATGGCAAAACTTAATTGGAGAAAGCTTAAAGCCCCAACTATACAACCATTGTTGTACCTTTCCTATTGCTTCCTTGATTTTACTCATCACCCGTTTGGGATCTCATTCTCTTGTCCAGATGGCCCCATCATCTGCATACAGAGCTGACCTAATCCTTCTGTCTAGATTCATAAAAATATCATTAATCATAACATCAAATAAAACTGGACTGATAACTCTGCCTTGTGAAATTCCATTAACAGTTTCAAATTCCTCAGATGTGTCTGATCCCACTTTAACTCTAAATCTTATTTCTGACAGAAAATCTAAGACTCTGTTATAAAACCTACAGCGGATAGAAAAAGTCTACACACCCCTGTTAAAATGCCAGGTTCTTATGATGTAAAATAATGAGACAAAGATAAATCATGTCAGAACTTTTTCCACCTTTAATGTGACCTATAATGTGAACAATTCAATTGAAAAACAAACTGAAATCTTCGAGGGGGAAAAATGAAAAATAAAAACCTTACAATAACCTGGTTGTGTAAGTGTGCACACCCTCTTACAACTGGGGATGTGGCTGTGTTCAGAATTAACCGACCACATTCAAACTCAGGTTAACCAGAAGTCATTACACACCTGCCATCATTTAAAGTGACTCTGATTAATCACAAATAAAGTTCAGCTGTTCTAGTAGGATTTTCCTATTTTCTTAGTTGCATCTCCGAACAAAAGCTATGGTCCGCAGAGAGCTTTCAAATCATCAGAGAGATCTCATTGTTAAAAGACATAAGTCAGGAGACGGGTACAAAAGAATTTGAACCAAATAAAATATGCCACCATTAATACATCAGATACCAGATAAGACAATTGATTAGATTTGTCTTTATTGTAAACTTCCTATGTTGTTTCACTGTGCCACAAATATACTCACGTTTTCTTATTGGTCGAGCTCTTGTTTGAGATCCTGCTGCTTCCTTTGAATTTGCTGGTACTTCAGTCTAAGTTCGTAGTGAATCTTTTAGGGAACAACTCCTCCATCCTCATCACTGTCAGATATCGGATCTTATTCCGCAAAGTCCCTTGCAACAGCAAGAGGCAAAGAATACATAGTCTGCTTTCTTAATTTCAATGATTTTATTAAACATACAAACAGTGCAATATACTTGAAAAATGTGACAATTAATATTGTGATGACATAAATTTATGATTAATGATGATCCCCCAGGAACGGTCAGATTTTTTATTTTTTTCCCCCATGCAGTTAACTTTTCCAAGTATCAAATGTTGTCTCATTTAAATCATGGAAATCCAACCTATTATTGGTTATTGGTTAAGTGAGACCCCAACCTGAAAAATGGAACATTACAAGACAAAATAATACAAAGGACTGAGTTGCATAGATGTACCAGAGTTAATAGAAGGCAATTTCAGAAATATGATCGTTTTGTAAAATTCAGGTAATCATTCAGGTAAAAATTGTAAAATTGCTGATGATCTGTTTTCAAAGGATAAATGTTTTTCAACTGATGTCTGACCTCCCTTGTTTAAAGTTATTTCCAAGAGACAACAGAGACTTGTAAATTGCTAAAGAAAACTATTCCTATATTGTTGGGACATTATACCCAGAAGCGAAATAATAATCAAATATTCAATGTTTCTTGCATTTAAATAATACCAAACTCAGAAAGGTGAGATATCAGAATTTTAGTGAATTCACCAACATATTCTAACTTTGATAAAAATTCCATCTTTTATTGCCAATGATGAATTTCCAGCTGGATTTCAACTCTATTCAAGTTTGCTACAAATTCAGTCTCAAAACGTGTGTGTATATATATATATATATATATATATATATATATATATATATAAAAGGTTTGCTAGTAATTTCACATTAATTTAATTTGAAGTTATTTGTGTTTTAGTATTTAATATTTTCAGTGCACTAGCTTTGAAAATAAACTTGACTGCGGAGCCCTACACGTCCAAAAACGACGCTAAAGGGTCTTGACAATTTTACTGGGCCACAGCACATGGACTCTGGGGCACATGCCCCAGTAAAAAGGGTCTAGCGACGCCTATGGGCTGAATACCATTATCATTTCTGTTTTCTACTGACCTGGTGTACCTACAACATTTACAAATTTTACAAAAACAAAAAGGCTGGATTATACTTTAAAAGGATATTTTCTATAGTTTTATATTGTAAGCAAGTCTTATGTGCAAGGTAAAACCAACCGTGAGCCACTCACTCAGAACAGGAGCAGTTCTGCTTATAATAAGGGCTTTGCTATGTTATCATGCTACATATCGCAACCTTTAAATCAAAGTACAACTTTGTACTGAACTGATTTACAATTTGCAGTTTAGCATAATGTGAAGTGGTTGTGATATTTAGCACAACAAGCTAGCTTGCTCTTGGTGGGAATTGTTGGGTCTCTGTAAATAATATCACAGAGTACGGTCTAGATCTGCTCTTTTAAGAAAAGTGCTATGACATAACTATTTTTGTGATTTTGGTGCAATATAAATAAAATTGAATTGAACTTAACTTTCTATTTATTCCACAGGTTCCTAAATAAACCGTACTTACTGGCAATACCACATGAAGACAGCAGAACAAGCTTGTTGATTGAGAGAACTGTCAGGCTCCTACATGTGCTCTTCAGTGTATATTCAAAATGGCTGCCCTCCTGTTACAGTTTTACATGGTGCATGAATTATAGGCTGTGGTCATTGTTTCTCAGGTACCAGTTTTACTGTTTACACAACTGAGAAAAACTGTATTGCAGCACTGAAATATCAGGAACTTCTTTTTTTCACCAGTAAATTACTGAATGCTTTTCTGATTCATTCTTGTTACATATTTGTTTTTGACAAAGTGTGTTAGCATTTCAAAAATGTGCTGCAGATATATAGTGTTTTGCAGGTGGTGAAGTACTAAAGAGAAAAGAGTCCAGGATTTTTGAATAAAGCGGTTATTGAATGCAATTTGTTTGAAAACAATGAAAAACAATTTACAGTTTGGTCCACATACACTTCTGTTTGGCTGACTGTGTAAAGAGTTTTGATAATGTGACTTCATTTTGACCAGTGCAGGTTAGCAACTGAAAAAAAACGGTAAACAGCAGACATAAGAAAACAACTGCGGGCGACTGAAGAGGAAAAAAAGTCAAGCAAAATAAATAAACTCAGCATAGCCATGAGAAGAGAAATAATAACAATTAATTAAATAAATAACTTATTGGCATGCAGAAAGAATAACGCACCTACCTGTTGACAACCATGGACAACCTAAATTTGTTTGTGTGTGTGTTTGTGTGTGCATAAGTTAGTGAGAATGGGACACCCCACCCCTGGTGAAGGAGGCCCCAGTGAGGAGAGGAGACAATGGATCCAGTGCCTAAGGACACACCACTCACCCCAGACATGAGTGTGGAATGCGTGGAATGTGTCCGTTCCTTCATCATTTATATTGCTTTACTCTGTAAGGGTCCACCGATCAAAAGACTCAAAACAGATTTTCATAAAAATTAATCCACGTTGTGAATTCTGTCGTGTGAAGTCCAACGCTCTCTGTCTGCTAA